AACTTCAAAAGGCTTTTCCGCTGTGTTAGTTCGCTTTGCTGTCGCCTTTTGCTCCTTTCACTTGCGCCGCCGACCTCGCGCTGCCACTTGTCGAGTTTCCCTTTCCGCTTTTCCTAGTACCCCCCGCTCACACACTTTTCTCGCCCATTTCCCAGCCCCCTTTTGCCACTTTTCCGCCGCACCCTCTCTCTCTGGACCAGGCCAGAAGTTTACCTTTGGTGCAACTGCGCTGATTTGCAGTTTCTTCTTTTCATTTGATGGGCGCAGCTTTTTGTCATGTTTTTCACATTCTATATATATATTTTTTTGTGTTTTTTTTTTGCTAGACCATTCATCCTGCTCCTTGCTCAGTTTTTCCAGCTTGCTCTCTTTTGCGCTCGCTTCTGTTTACACAGCAAATTTATTTATTTTCGCACTGTGGGACGCTCTTAAATATTCCGTCTTTTGAGTGCTAATGCAAATGTTGTCCTCCGGGCGGGCGGACGTACAATCAGGAGTTACGGCTGGGAGTCCGGGGCTTTTTGGCCAACAGCAGCGGAAATCACTTGAAATAAGGACCCAAGATTAACTGGGAACTGGGGGAATCGCGGGTTGGGATATGTGGGCAAGGGGACAGCAGCCATTCAATGGGACGAAAGGGGGGATGGCTTTGAAAATCGCTAATTAACTGGAAACAAATGTAATGCGAAACAATCACGGGATTTAATCTTAATGGAAATCTCTTTGAAGCAATACCACAAGCTTAAATAGAAATACAAGCTTGTAACTTTATCATTATTTTGATAAACCAGAAAGAAAACTAACTTCGGGAAACTGAAGTTTATGGGATAATTTTTTAGAACAAATAATAGTTTAAACAAGAAAGGAAGCTAACTTCGGCACGCCGAAGTTTATATACCCTTGCAGATAGAATTTCTATGAATAGGAATCTATACAATATAAATTATATATATTTGTAACAAAAAACAACGAAGTAATACCTGCTTTCATTTCATTCACCTATACATATTATATTTGCAGTTTTACATTCACAGATTTGCATTTTCCCTCTACATCAAACGATCGTTTGTATGGCACCTATATGATATAGTCTTCCGATTTTCATGAAATTTGACACAAAATTTAAGACTAATATAAAATGGCTATACCTAAAATTTGATGAAAATCAGCTGAAAACTAAAAAAGGTATAAATTTAATTGTATTAATTTCTCGATCGTTCCTATGGGAGCTATATGATATAGTAGTCCGATTTTCATAAAATTTTACGCAAAATTGTAGAGTATAGTAAGATGGCTATATCTCAAATTTGATCCAATTCTAATAAAAACTGAAAAAGTTAAAAATTTTTTTGTAAAAATTTTCCGATCATTCCTATGGCAGCTATATGATATAGTCGTCCGATCCGGCCCGTTCCGACATATATACGAGTGGGAGTATATAGAAGGCTAACTACAAAGTTTCATTCAGATAGCTTCAAAACTGAGAGACTAGTTTGCGTAGAAACGGACAGACGGACAGACGGACAGACGGACATGGCTAGATCGACTCGGCTGTTGATCCTGATCAAGAATATATATACTTTATATAGTCGGAGGTGCCTCCTTCACTGCGTTGCAAACTTCTGACTGAAATTATAATACCCTGCAAGGGTATAAAAACTCATAACTGAGACAAAAAAGCATTAATTTCAATTCGGAATGCATTTCTATGTTAGTTTATATTAGGTTAATAAATCTGATTACTAATTTTATCATTTTAAAATTTTTGTCAATTTTTTAACGATGTAACCCCTTAAAAAATTTTAAAAATTTTGAAAAAAATTTCGAAAAATTTATTTTTTACCGGACATGGTTAGATCAATGAAACTTATCATACTGATCATGAATATATATGATTTATAGGGTCAGAAAGGACTCCTTCATTGCGTTTCAAGCTTCTGAATGCAATAGTATAATAATTTAGTAATCCATATAAAAAATCAACAATGGTGATTAATTTATAATTAAGATAGGCTGTTAACTTTGAGAATACGTTTGTAAATATCCCTAATTATATGACTCTAAATTTAAATAGGAAATTAATTGGAAAATAAATGCACAGCTAGGCCTGATCCCTCCTATAGCATCTATAGACATAATATAATTATCATGGTTAATACTTAGCGCAGTAGATGAAACATGGTTCTTCCTCTTGGTCAAAGCTTATTTCCTTCTTGGTGACTTCAATTAGGCAAAGTGCGCTTCTTCTTGATTATCCAGATGTGTTGCCTTGATCGGGTGATATTTTTGGGGTCGAAGAACAAGCACTATCACTACCAGTGTCACGATCACTATCAGATGCAAACACTAGGGAGGCCGGGAACCGACTGAGCCCAGTCCGACGGCAGTGCCTCTATTTATACTCCTCGAGTGAAGAGGAGTCAGAGGAAGTGAGAGAGCGAGAGAGACAGAGAGAGATAGAGAAAGAGAAATAGTAGAATCTCAAGAGCTGCGCCGAAAGAGATGGAGTAAACTGGTGAACTTGTAATTGGTTTCCTACAAAATCTTCAATCGTTCCTATGACACCTATATGATATAGTCGTTCGATCCGCCACGTTACGACTTATATTCTAGTGAGAGAATATAGAAAACAAATTGCAAAGATGCATTCAGATAGCTTTTTAAATACGGAGATACGGAGAGATGGAAATGGTTAGATCAACTTGATTATTGATGCTATTCAAGAATATATATATACTTCATATGATCGAAAATGGCTCCTCTACAGCTTAACAATCTTCTTGAATTATATGTCATACCCAGAAAGGTTATAAAAATACAACAAACTCATAAACAAGCATAGGTTTATTGATATAAAAATATGAATTTATAGGTAAACATTGACTTAACATTTGATTTAATTTATTAATCATAGCATTTACAAGTTCTTCTACTTTGTTTGTATTTATTTTTCCCCCTTTTTTCGAACCCCAATGCCAGCGAATATAATTAAAAAGAGAGTGTTTACATAATTGAGGAAAGTCATCATATGTTAAGTTAGTTAAATAAAATGCAATTAAAATTAATTGAAAGGGGGAGAGTTGCTGGCACAACTTTTCCTTATTTCTTGTTTATTTTATCTATTCAATCTATTCAAATAAGTGAATCAATTATTAAGTTATACGCCCCATAAACTAGATTACAAACTAATAAAAATATTAAAAAACAAAAGAATAGGTATGGGCCACAAATCGATTGAATATCTGTCATGCCAATCTTTTTATGACTAAAAATATTTTCACTTGAATAAAGCACATGAATGCGGCGATAATCTGACTGAGAATGCGATTGAAATGGGACAAGGAAGGGAAACAATTAAATTTAATAGTCATAAGGTAATCCACTTAGCAGGAAAACAGATTGATTCCTCATCCCCCATTTCCCATTTCCCCTTCCCCATTCCCCATCATCCCTTAACGACACTCAACCTTGGGGCAACTTTCGCCAGCTGCAAGCTCGAGTGCATCCCACGCCAAGTAAACTTCCCTGACTGCAACATTCTGAAACTCTAATTTAATAAGTAAATCACATTTCCGCCTTTTGAATGTCGCCACCATCTCGAACTACGCGTCAGAGTTTGGAGGCGGAACACAGTTTCCAGTTTCTGAAGCCTGGATCCTGGATCCGGGATCCCGGATCCCGGGGCATCGCATTGACACCTCGTCAGGAGTTTGCAAGACATCGCCCCGGCGACTTGCTAACTGGTTTAGTGCAAATTCACTATTAGGAGAGCGCTCAATTTCACACTGGAATTAAATTACATCGCATGGCGATGGTGGCAGGTGGGCAAGGTGTTGATGTTGGGGTTTTCGTGTGGGTTGAACCGAAGGTGGAGGGGGGTCGGAGATCAGAGTTTGTGGCTGACTTGGTGCCGCGGCAAATGAGCGAACACCTCGTTAGTTTGCGCACCTCGAAACTTTTTTAATATTTACATTCATATTTTGCACCTTTTGCCGCCTTCGCCCACGGCCCAACCCCCCTCGAATATAGGGGGCTTTCTTTTATTGCAACTTGTGCATCCTGCAGCAGCAGCAGCACCAGCAGCCTGACTGCTGGATGGACCAAGGATGCTGCCGAGTCATAAATTTTTGTTTGTGTTGAAAATTGCATTTGCCTTTTACTTTGTGTTGAGCCTGAGCCAGGATCCAAAACTGGTCGGCATTAAGGGGGGAGGGAATGGTAGGTGATGCTGCACCGAGGAAAATAAAGTCCTTAAGCCAAGTTTTCGCCCAAACAAACTGTAAGTCATCTCAAAGAAAGTCTGTTAAAATAGCAATTTGCGGGTCAGGGCCAAAAAGAGAAAAGTTGGGGGAAATGTTTTAAAACAGCTTAAGCCAATAAGTCAGATATATATTAAACAATAGTTATAATATGTTAAACTTGATAGAGTAAAATAATCATTGGAAAGGTTTAAATCAGTAGATCCCGCCACAAAAAACTAGCAGAAAATGTCTTAGGTTTACTAATTACAAGTATTTTAAAGGCAGTGTAAATAAAAAGTAAATTGGGCAATAATTTATTATAGTTTTAAATCAGATTCGACAGATATCTATCTATAAAATAAGGAGTATATTAAGTATATATCAGCAAGTATAAATTATTTATTTTCCCATGGAATTTGTATACCCTTTGGTTCGCCCAGTGTAATAATATGGCTGCGATGGATAGATTGAGCTTGCCCGGCAGCCATATTGGATGCCCCTAAAAGCAGGCAACGCCAAATTTGTTGCAACGCTTGATAATCAAGTTAGCGATGGACGATGCTGCCACCCAATCCCAAACCCCCACAAAAAAATACCTCCCATCCTTTTAGTGCACTCAAATTGAACAGCCTTTTGTGCTGGATTCTTCGTCCTTTTTTCCACTTTATCGCGAAATAAATTTAAACCGATGATTCCGCCACGGACCGTGATTCTGAATCTGAATCTGATGTTTTGCTCGCATTTCTTGTTTACTTGCAGATGTCAATGGGCGTGGCAGTGGCACGCGAACCGAGCCATCTGGAAATCAAAGCCCAATTGGCACAAACACGCGGTAAATAGAATTCGCAATCGGAATCGGAATTGAAATAGAAATTCGCATTCAAATTCAAATGCAAATAGAAATAGAAATTGCCACAAGACCCCCACAGGACGAAAAATAGAAAGCAAAAAAAGAAAAGCGAAACACACATAGCAACTAAAATACCCATAAAATAATAGGGAAACAAAGAGGTCCAGGGAAGCAGCTGTTGCAGCAAATAAAAGAACCGCAGCAACTGCAGCAGCAGCAGCAGCAACTGCCACAGCAACAACAATAGCAACAACAACAGCAACAGCAACAATATGGCAAAACTCCTGCAATCGACGCTGTTTGTCATCCTGATAATGGCCACAAAATGCGGCAGTGGCTCGGCCCAGAATCAGCATCACGGTAAGTGGTCTCAGGGATTGAATTGCAAAAGGGTCGTTCTACTAAGTTCGTTCATGGTCCATTCGCAGAGAGCAATTCCCAGCTGGATCCCGATCCAGAGTTCATTGGGTTCATCAACAATGTCACATATCCGGCAGGACGCGAGGCCATATTGGCTTGCTCAGTGCGAAATTTAGGCAAGAACAAGGTGAGTTATTAAAGAATTCTAGTAATTAGAAAATATTCTACATTCTGGAATAGGAATTTTGATATATTAATTTATTTAATCCTACAACCCTTCACAGGTGGGGTGGCTGAGAGCCTCCGATCAGACAGTCTTGGCCCTGCAAGGCCGCGTGGTTACCCACAATGCCAGGATCAGTGTCATGCATCAGGATATGCACACGTAAGCTTAGAGAAGGTTATATAGTGTTCAGAAATTAATTTTAAATCCCATTAGCTGGAAGCTGAAGATCAGCAAATTGCGTGAAAGTGATCGTGGTTGCTACATGTGCCAAATAAACACAAGTCCCATGAAGAAACAAGTGGGCTGCATCGATGTGCAGGGTATGGTTTACTGATCTTAACAAAGAGAACTTTAATTAACTATTTTTGAATCAATAGTTCCGCCGGATATTATAAACGAAGAGTCCTCCGCCGATCTGGCTGTGCAGGAAGGCGAAGACGCCACTCTCACCTGCAAGGCGACAGGAAATCCGCAGCCTCGCGTCATCTGGCGGCGGGAAGATGGCGAAATGATTCTTATTCGGAAACCAGGCAGTCGAGAGCTCATGAAAGGTGAGTTAAAATTGTTGCTTATGTTATGAATATATTTAATAATTTCCATATTAATATACTAACATTAGTGGAGTCCTACAATGGATCTTCGCTGAGGCTACTACGTCTGGAGAGGCGTCAGATGGGCGCATATTTGTGCATAGCTTCTAATGATGTTCCACCTGCTGTCAGCAAAAGAGTGTCCCTGAGTGTGCAGTGTAAGTTAGAAATTCTCCTTTAAAAAGTATTTTAGAATTAAATCTGACTCATTCCTCTTGATGTGTATACAAGAAAATAATAAGGCTTAAAACTAATTCTACTTATTCCCATGCTACACAAACAAATTGTTAGTTCCTTAGTTTAACTCAAATTTGTATTTAAGTAATGTTTTAATAATTACTTTAAAAAAGAGACTGTAGTCTGGTTTAAAAGTATTTACTGCTCCGAGAGCTTAAGGCCGTACCAATTGGACGATTTCCCAAACTGAATATTTTAAAGAGAAATATATAAAATTTTTTTGTACCTTTCACTGCAACAAACGGATTAATTCCCAAACACTCTCCGCATTCCCATCCACAGTTGCTCCCATGGTAAGGGCTCCCAGCCAACTGCTGGGCACGCCGCTGGGCTCCGACGTTCAGCTGGAATGCCAGGTGGAGGCCTCGCCCTCGCCCGTGTCCTACTGGCTGAAGGGGGCGCGAACTTCCAATGGATTCGCCAGCGTATCCACGGCCAGCCTGGAGTCCGGCTCGCCGGGTCCCGAAATGCTGCTCGACGGGTGAGTTGGGGAATTCCGGGAGCCAGACATCAGACATGTCCAGAGCGCTCCACATCACCGTATCCATTACCATCTACGGACCATACCACCACTCTCCCCTATTCTACTCCGTATTTCAACCCATATCCATTGCAGGCCCAAGTACGGGATAACGGAGCGCCGCGATGGCTATCGGGGCGTCATGCTGCTGGTGGTCCGTTCCTTCTCGCCCTCCGACGTGGGCACCTATCACTGCGTCAGCACAAACTCGCTGGGCCGTGCCGAGGGCACATTGCGGTTATACGGTGCGTATACGCAATCTCGGCTCCGCCATCTCGTGCTCTCACCGATTTTAATTTGTTTTGTTTGCTCGCTTGCGGGTTTTGTATTGCAGAAATCAAGCTTCATCCGGGCGCCTCTGCCAGCAATGATGATCATCTGAACTACATTGGAGGTAAGTTCGTTGGGATATATATATTTTTTATGCTTCCCAAGCTCTGGAGTTTATTATTACTTTATGTAAATGAACAAAATATACATATATAAATTTTCAACCTTTTTATATCAATATTTTAAAATTTTTTAATCGAAATATTTATTTATTTAACTCCAAGTTAGAAAAGTTCTAGTATAAAGAAACTGATTCCGAACACTCTAAATTTCATGAAACGTCCAACTTTTGCGTAATAAATTGTCACAGAACAGACATAATAATCTTCCTATATTGACTTTGTGATTGTCAGATATGAATTAACCATTTCCCTTATTCATTGTCGTAGGTCTGGAGGAGGCGGCGAGGAATGCGGCACGGCGGCACCGGACGACGTGGCAGCCGCTGCTCGCGATGATGATGCTCCTGTGGATGAGACTCAAGGGATGGGCAGCGGGAACGTGATATCAAAATTGAGAGAAGAAGAGCCGGCAATCAAGTATTCCTACGGATTCCCTCGGACACCGACATCGACAACTCTCCACCCGCCCGCGTTCTTGTTGTTCGTTTCCGTTTCCGGTGCTGCCATCATTCTCCATTCCCTACTTAGCGGACCCTTTCATATCCCGCCCCCCTTTCTTAATACATACATATATTGCCGGAGGCGCCTCCCGCTGCCTCAGATATCATTTGCATACGTATCAGGAAACGCGTCGTTCCCACCCGCGCTACTCCCCTCGCCAAAAACCAGCCCTGCTGCTGCCCAGACCGCTCCCTAAAAGGACTAAAGAGGATATCAATATGTGCGGACAATTGGATGCCGAGCCCTCCCCTTAACCCCAGCCCCAAATAATGTTACATTGCATATAAATTAAATATGAATACTATAAAATAGTGCATAAAATTTATTATCATAATATAAATAACGACAAAATTATTGAATAAATTATCGCAAATGTGGAAAAAAAAAAAAACAAGAATTTAATGGTAAACCCGCCTTTACTTTACTTCCGACACGGCTTCCTGCGCCACTGGCCTGACCCACTGATCCACTTTGTGGCCACTGTTTGGTGGGGCGGTAAGGAGAGGGAATAAAAATCGATGGGCAGTTTAATGGACTTACCCCACTGCGTTCCAAGGAGCACCGGACAGGTGGCCTGCAGACTTCGGATATCACAATTCCCAGAGCTGTCCATGTTGTGCCATACCAAGGCCGATCCACGATTGGGTTTAAAGCCAAATTCAAGGGCAGGGAAAGAGGCAAAGCCGCCGATTTGGACATCAGTTAGCTGTAAACAATTACGGATAATTAAGTAACCTTTTAGCTGAAATATTCATTATTCATTTAAATATATTAAACTTACATAAAGCAAAACAGTAGCCGCACGATACTCCTTCGGGAACGGTTCAATAACGCTCTGTTAAGAAATAGATTTTTTATTTAAAAAATAGAAACAAGTGAAGAAGACTCACCTTGGGCTGCTGGCAATCCAAGCGAATGAAATGCTGATCTTCAATACCAAATTTGGATACCATTAAAGGTTCACTCTCTCCCAGTTCCAGTCCTGTCATATCCTGGATCCTTTGGTGCAGACGTATCATATAATTGGATGCATTATTCTCTACAGCGGCTTCCACAAATTTAAGATGCGTTCCCCGATCCTCTAGTCTGGACTGCGTCTGTTTTATTAAATCGTCCTGCTCCGCTGGAGAGATGACATCGTGATAGATTCCAACAAAAGGCTCCAGACTGAGCTGCTCCAATTTAAATGGAGCAAGGCGAAGGAATGGGAATCCTTCTGTAGAGTAGCGACAGCGTAGGAAGGACTTTACTGGGAGTATATTTTTACCCCGACAATTGTCCTCATGCACGGCCATGTAAGCCAAGTTTTCCAACAAATGGTTGACCAGCCAAGTATCGTCCTCCTTCGTGGCCCATTCCAACGACTTCTTAAAAGCTGATTGACTGCCATTCAGGTTATCTAAAGGATTTTTAACGATTGAATGAGAAGTTTTTTCGAACTTTTAAACAAACTTACCCATTTCAAGTAGAATATTGCCCATTTTCTCCCAAATATGAAAGCGTCCAGTTTTCAATATCTTATATACAGGATCCATGTGCTCCTCGTACTGCTCTAGGGAAATGTTTAGCCACTTGCAACCCTGGTTGCCATGTTTCAGATCATCTAGATGCGTTCCTATTGCCAAGCAATCTGCAGCACTTAGCTTTGACCTTAAAAGAGACATTATTAAGTGCTTTTAAGGGGTACCGCGTTTAGAAAACTCACTCGTATTGTTTTCCACACAGTTTTCCATTTGCCATATCCCTTTCATCCAGGCTGTAGGCATCCTGCAAACGCAACAGCTCCCGAGTGGCATTTTGAAGATCCGTGTCCGTAACACCGGTCAAGTCTTGGTCAACTAACTTTTGAAGGGGGTCTGTCAGGATTTAATTTATAATTACTATTATTATGATATATGTTCTGTAAATATGATTTAGAAATATGTAACTTACTCTTCTCTGTATCCTGACGAGCAAGTTCAAGCCATTTGGGAGCATCTACATGCATTCGTAACATCAGTGGATAGCTTATCAAAGGATTGGCCACATATTGTTCGGGATTAGTTTGCATTTGCTCTCGCCTAGTCTTCCACTCTTCCTGCACACTTTAACGACGGATCTATCATTTCAATTATTTTAATTTTAATAGTCTTACCACATACTTCCTCATTCTATCGATCTTGTGCTGCAATTTCTGCACATACTGCCGCATATATCCAATTAGCTCGTCTTCCATTTGCAACAGAGAAGCAATATCTTGTGTCGATGTGGCATAGTCAACTTTATCGGAAGCTACAGTCGCAACTCCTAAGAGGAAAAGCAACCAGATTGGACTTGGCATAATCACTTAATGAATATATTTTCGATACGCTTATTATAAACTGTGAAAAGTTTATTCGTTTCACTATATTATGGTGTCTCCTTTTCGAATGGGTATTATATACTTTTAGATATTTACACCCATGCAAGGGTATTATAATATTAGTAATAAGCTTGAAATGGAGTGATGAAGTCATTTCCGACCATATAAAATATACATATTCTTAATCAGCATCAAAAGTTAAGTAAATCTAGCCATCTCACGCAAAAATATTTTTTTTTTAATTTGTTTAAAATTTTATAAGGGATTACATCTATAAAATTGACAAAAATTTGTCAAAATATTTTGTTTTTTTAATTTTTGCCGAGCATATCTAGATCGATTCGGCTGTTCATGCTGATCAAGAATATATAAGGTTTATAAGGTCGGAACTGACCCCTTCACATGCTTTAAATAAAATTAAAAAAAAATTAAAATTATCTTTAGAACGAATTCTATTTATGATATGTGACCTCTGTCCGCCTCGTTGTGCTGCATATCCATTAGGCTATCCATCTTGTGAAAGAAACAGATTCTTGCTGTCTTTTTCAGACGCTTTTACTCTTTTTATTTAAGAGAATTATTAATTGCGCGAATTACGCGCTCCTTTTTTAAATAATATTGTTTCACACCATTTCCATGGCATCCGGCAAGACCATCAATTTTGGTGTGACCAACTGACGAGAAAATGAAAGCTGCCAATAGCAGCACCAAACCGGCCAATGTCTGGCAACGCCGAAGTCATGATGATTTAATGATATCGATATAAATGTATCCGTTATCGATGTTGTTTTATTAATTAAAAACAATTCATTAAAAAAGTACGCCCACGCCCAATAACAGAAAGCTACAACGGTTTTAACTGCTGTTGAATATCTGGAACCCGCTTAGCCACAAGTGGTAAGCTAAAGTTCGGCGAAAACAAACAGTTTTGTCAGCATTTTCATTGAACAAAATATTTGGGCGTTGACTTTGTGTCTCCCCAACCCCAAAAAGTGCTGTTTACTCACGAGTTTTATTGTTGTTTCCCAAGCTTATTCCCGCTAAGAACCATGGTCGTGCTGAGCTCCTGCTGGTCTCCGATTATCTGGTCCGACAATGTCCGGACGGGCAGCTACGCCGTGGCCGGCTACACGGCTGCGCTCTCCGTGGTTATGATTACACTGATCGGCTACATGCTGGCGGGCGGGGAGTCTGCGCAGCTCTACTCGCCGCTCTTCGAGACGGATATACGGACGTCCATGCCCATTGCCGGTGGCTTCTTCATCATTTACTTTCTATTGATTATTTTATCCTCCTACCTGGTCTACTATGGCATCAAGATCAGGTGAGTTAGCCACGTTTAGGTTAGCGTTTCGGACGTAGTAAATGTAACCATGAATTTAAATCTATTCCCATAGTACTCGCGGATGGCTGCTGCCGTGGTTGGGTCTAATTGGACTGGCCATTCTCTTCCAGTTTAGCTGGAGCTTATGGCTTATCGGAGGCTATTACATTTATGTGAGTAATAGATATTGCAAATATAAATCTATATTAACGTTTTTACTATATTTTACAGCTCGAACAAACCTTCTCGGCCCTGCTAAACTTTGTCTGGGTGGCCTATAATGTAAGTTGCTAGCAGTTAATCTTCAATCGTTACATTAAATCGAACTATGTACCTTGTGTCAATAAGTTAAGAAACACATAAGTTTATTGCAACTTAAGCTCTTGGTCTAATTGAGAAGTGCAAATTAGCACCGTACAACGATTATATTAATATATATCAGAGAAAAAGGATTTCTTTATGTTAAATATTTACTTAATTTATTTAATAGATACCCACTGCTGTATGTCACATATTAGTTCGACTTAATTATGTTTTAAAATTGTGTTTTCTTAACCACTACTTTCTTTATTTTCTATTTAGATATACTGCTGGCTGGTGGTCTTTTCACAGTACCAGATCTTCTTGAACATTCAGAATCCAAACATTGAGCTTCTGATGCCATGATGAAGAGAGCCATACCAACATTCATTATAGCTCGAATTAACTTTTAGACTACGTTTTGACACGCTACAAAGGAAGTCCGTCCAGGAGTATTTCCACAAAAAGAATTCCACATCCATTTTCTACAGATGCCTACCAAATAGTTTTATATACATTTATATATATATATATATTTTACAAGCCTTTTTACACCATCAACTACTGTAATATGTATTGAATCGAATGCCTTAGTCTTCTAAACGACAATTAAACCGTAGATTCGTAAAACTATAAGATTTGTGTTTATCAGAGGAAGGAATCAACGGGAGCTTTTAGAATATTAACGTTTATTACAGTAAATTAATTTAAAGTGTACTTTATAATATACGAGTTGTAGGTGCATGTGTGTGTGTGTGTGTGTACATAGAGAAAGGTATTTATTTTGTACAGAAACTTGAAATGAGAAATGTCGACCGTTAACCATTGAAGCAAAGGATCTAAACTGGGCGAATATAGGGATGGGGACACTAAATGTACATTAAGGTAAATCTTAGGATCGAATAATTTACAAAGCCTGGTCTAGGACACAGAGCTGCAACGGGAGGGGCGGGTGGATCTAGGTCTTCTCCTCCTTTTCCTTGTTGTAGCGCTCCAGTTCCTTGAGAAACTGCGCCTTGGGCTTCATCACATTGGGCCGCTCACCGCGACAATTGGGACAGAACCACTTGCCCTTGGGCTTCAGCACCAGGGAGACGCACGAGAAGTGGAACCACTCGATGGGGCACAGGTCGTTGTCGCACAGAATCATCTCACCAAAGGAGATCTGACGAAGAAGCGGTATGTTATCAACAACTTCTTGAAAAGAAAAGCAATTCTTAAGGCTTACCTGATTGCAGACGCAATATGTTGGTTCGTCTGGATCAATGGTCTCGGGCGGCGGCGTCTCCTCGCGTGCGCTGGTGTTAGCGTTCGAAGCACCCGCGCCACGCACCTTCCGTTTCTTCTTCTTTCCGGAATTGTTGCCCCCGGCACCGCCTCCACCAGCACTGCCGCTGGCGCCACCGCCTGCTACACCGCTGCTCGTACCAGCCGATCCGCTGGCCAGGCTACCGACCGCCACCTGAAGATTAGCCTTTCGTCCTTGTCCCGATACACTACCGCCGCCCAGCGAGGATTTGCGCTCACCGTTGCCGCTGCCACCTCCTCCTCCACCGCTGCCACTGCCGCCGGCTTCGTTCGCAGAGTTCGATTCATTGCCGCCCATCTCCAGGGAGTTACCGTTGTTGGCCAGGCTCTCGTTCCGCCTCCTCGAGCGTTTGCTGCCAGTGCGCTGCAGATCTCCGCCGCCGCCAACACCTCCGCTGATGTTGCCGTTGGAGCCGCTGTTGCCGCCGTTACTGACATGACGCTCGGAGCGCTCAGAATTGGGGGTAGAGCTGCCACCGTTACCGGAGGCTAAGCCGCCGGATCCCGATACCAAACCGGCATAGCCGCCCAAGGCGTATGGACCCTTGTCAGAGAGCAGGCCATTACCGTTCAGACCGCCGTTTCCGGTGCCAACTCCCGCCTGATTAGCCTGCTCCCTCATCGGACTCTGCAGCCGCTGCAGCTTCGAGGGTTGGCCATCTTCGAGGAGCGTCGCATACCGATCCCGCTCCTCCTTCAGGTCCAGGTTTTGCTGGTCCGTGTCCAGCTGGCGCAGCTTGCCGTCAATAATCTCCTGCATGTGGTTTACAATCTGCATCTTCTCATCGCCCAGCTCCTGCGCCTGGATGAGGCTCTGGTGCATCCGTGAGATGCTCCGTGATCTGCGGCTGGCGTCGGGAGAATTCTGCAGGGACAGATACAGGTCGTAGTAGTGGTCCACGTCGCGGATGAGGCCTGCCAATAGGACGGATTGGAGAGAAGGAGGTTAGGTTGATTCCACTCTTGGCCGCGGGAATTCGCGCCGAAACTTACCTCTGTACTGGACATCGATGTCGCGGATGCGGGACAGCTGCCGCTGAACGTCATCCGGCAGGTTCTCCACGGAATCAATGTAGTTGTCCACATAGGTGGCTGAATTGATGGCCTCCGACTCGGTTGCAATTGGGTTTATCATGTTGTTTTGGGTGCGTTTCGCGCTATTCCCGCCACGACATTGGTCCGCGGTCGTGGGTTCAGATGGATACTACTCGCCCAAAGCTCTGGAAAGGATTACTTCTGCGAATCCAGCAATAATTTCCACTCGAATCGAACTTTTTATTTTTTCCTTTTACAAATTGTACTACAAATTGCGACTGTACTCTAGAGCTGCAAAAACTTATATCGATTGGTGCTGGCAAAACATTAGAGCACTATCGATACTATCGACATTTGGATACATTTTTTGTTATTTTACATCCTACACGTGTAGATAACAATTTTACACGTTTACAGGTAGAATTCTCATATATTTATTTTATTTCATGTTGTTCCCTTTAATAATTTATTTAATATTAAAATAATTAACACATAAACACATGAAATGTCATTTGTTGGTAATACAAATAATAAATGCTTTGTTACGTTTCAATTCAGTTTTATATATTTTAATATTAATACTAGTAAAAAAACTAATTCAATTATTATATTAACATAATTCATAATAATAATAGTCATCAATCAATATAATATATATACGATATATATTTCTTAAAAACATGGAGAAAATCGATAGTGAAAAGAACATATTTATTGCCAGCACTATCTAGGGCCGTTCTTTTACGCGGTAATTTAAAATGTTTAATTAATTGTGTATTCTTGTGTATCTCTTTAAATATAGTAATAGTAAAAAAACAAATTCAATTATTATATTAACATAATTCATAATAATAATAGTCATCAATCAATATAATATATATACGATATATATTTCTTAAAAACATGGAGAAAATCGATAGTGAAAAGAACATATTTATTGTCAGCACTATCTAGGGTCGTTCTTTTACGCGGTAATTTAAAATGTTCAATTGTGTATTCTTGTGTATCTCTTTAAATATTATTAAAAAGGTTTGAAGAAAATAAATTTCATGCTGTACTTATAGAACATTATCAAATTCAGTTCGATATTCTTTATTGTGGACAAATATGTCTACAACAGTTTTAAGTACGTAAATTTTTACTTAAGTACATTAATATTTAAATGAGATTGCATATATGACAATTCGTTCAGCTCTTCTTGAGTATTTGGCACATCCCTATTGTGCGTTAAGTCTTTTACATTTAAGTGTTATACCATTTGAGATTCCATATTTTATGAATTAATTATTCCTATGACTTTCAGTTTTACTCTTCATGAGTTTTTAGCTAGCTCGTGCTATTGAGATTAAAAAATTCAGGATCTGCTCGTGTAATACATTTGTATATAAACATGTAAGTGATTTAGCAACTTAAAAATTCACCGAGCGTAAGCTGAAGTCCATCGATTTCCTCTTCCTGAGTTAGGAACACGTTATTTTTTGAAAAATCGGTGTTAAAGTCGAATATATCTGTAAATGCACTCGGAAATTCTTCGATTTCCTCTATTTGAGTGGTCAACACTTTGTTTTTGTGCGCGTCGCTCTTGTTGTGTTTGTCTAAACTGCGTCTAAATCTATAGTATATGTCGCAGATCTCACACCTGACAGAAAGAAACAAAAGACATAAATAAAATGTTAACCAAACCATGGTCTTAGTTAAGGACTTACCAAAATGGTCGATCTCCTGTGTGTACAACCTGATGTTCCTTGAGCTGGCAGCGCAGAAGGAAACCCTTGAGACAGATCTCACAATGAAACGGCAACTTATCGTGGGTCATTTCATGGCGCCTAAGGGCAGCTGGTCCCGCAAAGCCTTTAGCACAGACCTTACACTTAAGGGGCCTCTCGCCGGTATGGGAGTTCATATGCCAAGCCAGTGTGCGCTTCGAAGAGTAAGTCTTTGCACACAGTTTGCATTGGTGCCGACCGTCGTTTGTCTCCTCCTTCAGGGCTTTCAGCTGCCTTTGTTCCGAGCGATTCATGCTGATGCGTGGTCCTACCCCATGAACTTCCCTGTAAATAGGACATTAGCCTTCATATTGAATTTGTGATGGTTCCTTACTTACCTCTCGTGCTTTTGCCGACAAGTTGCATTGGTGAAAGACTCGCTGCAGTGATTACAAGACCATGGCTTCTCCCCCTATGCCGCACTCGTAGATGCATATTTCGCAGATAGGAATTGTAGAATTTCTTTGGGCACTCCGGGCAAACAAAGTTCTTGGTTTGGTTGTGGCGGAGTAGGTGCATCTGAAGCTGGTCCGGCATGCGGAACGAATGGCCGCATTTGTCGCAGACATAACTGAACGGTTTTGCCAAATGTTTTAACCGTCGAAGGTTCTTTTGCTCCTCTAGGGTCTTCTTGGGTTTCTTTCGCTTAGGCACTGCCAGCGAATACTTTGGCGTACCCCCCTGCTCAGAGGGCTTTGTTTCCTCCTCGCGTTTGCATTCAGTTAGCACAACCTTATATACCTCGGCCCCGATATCTATCTTGCCAATTTCCTCTTTGGTTTTACATTTGGTAATGCTGGCAATCTCACGGCAAACATGCTCCCTTTCCCTCGAAGTCTGCTTTCCTGTTTCTTTAACTGGAAGGATGCCCTTTTCTGGTAAGGTCTTGTCCTTGGGTAGTAGGAAATCGTCTTCGTTATCGGAGCCGAATTCAAGATCGGATAATCCCGTTCCTGAAGCCTTGTGTATATATTGAGATGATTCCTCGTAGAGTACATTTTCCAGCTCTATTTCGTCACAGATTTCAAACCCTTGCCCTGTGTCCTTCTGTATGATTTGGTTATATTCTACATTGGCTTGTATGCAATTATTACGAAATTCGATGGCTTTCTTAAGAGTTTCCTGGCAACATTCACATATATGATGGGCTAATCCTTCCACTCCTGTTTGTATCTAGAATAAGTTTGTTAAGAAAAAGAATAACGATATTGAAGTCGGATAAATGAAACTAGCCTTAGAGACCTACCCATACGCCTGTGACGACCTTTATGTGATGAAGAAGCTCAATGTTGCGCTTATCGTAGAGATCCTTGACAGTGTCGTCCAGCATCAAGTATTGGGAGCAAGTGCGGCATTTGCATTCTTCATCAAACCATTCATCTTCGAGTATTTCTTCATCAACAGCACTTTCCCAGTTGGTGGAAATTTCAAAGGATGCATTGTTTTCCGTGAATATGGCACCAGTCTCCTCTGCCTCCGTTAGGAGCAGCTCCACCAGCTTCTTGTTGACCTGCCTCTGGGAGCCCTCTATTGGTGGCATTTCGACAACGCCTTTGTCTTGGAATAACTCGTTTTCGTTTTCCTTTAAAAACAAAGAACAAGCGATATACGTGAGTGAAATATTAATTGTATGCTGAGAAGTTTGCGAGACACACCCTCTTTGAATCACCACTATCAGCTGCTCTGGTCGTACTCCGCATCTTTCGAAAGTTCGGCTCAGGCAACTTCCAACTTCGTCCGAGTTATCTCGTTTTTCCGGAGGAATGTTCGAGAGCAGTCGGAAAAGAGGCAGCGTTTTCCACAGCAGCAGCAGCGCACTGCGCATCCATTGCCGGCAAATTTTTAGCAAAACAGAGCCAGCCCGGTTGCCAGGGCTGCAAAACGTTAAAGTAGGGGTTGCAATCAGGACGGCAGGCACTTCTTGTGTTTATGCGAGATCGAATTCATGAATTTAAAACGCGAATTCTAAAAAGAAATAAACATAACATTTATACGAGAACAAACAAATCACGTCGCAAAACACAAAACATTGGGGGAACATTAAAAAAACTTTAAATTAACCTAAATCATTTGTGATTCAAAAGATTGTATTTGATGTAATGATTTTCATTTTATATGTTATTCTTGAATTCGTATGTGTTGTTAAACACGTCTTTAAAAATTAATGTATTCCATAATATAACCACATAAAGTAGATATATCAAGACTTATTACCAATTTCAAGGCTTCAAATCTTTAACAACCACAATTTCTGAATATATGTTATATATGTAGATTCTTACAGAAAATAAAATTATTTAAATGGTTTACTCATCCGATTACATTGCATCGTCCTGATCGCATGCTTTTTTCTGCTCCTGTTCACATTCCTGTTCCTCTGCCCTTTTTATGTGCCGCTTCGAGCGAAAATGAGTTCGCAAGCTGCTCTTCCGATTAATTAATTAGAGCTCACAGCTAAGATGGATAGGAAATAAGATAAGGTTAATAGTAAACAGCCCGCATGGGTGATTCAAACTCACTGAAATGCTTGTTCACCGGTGTGCACCACGGCGTGGAACCTTAGGGCGATCTTGTCCTTAAAGGCCTTCTTACAAATGGCGCACGGCCGATGGACGGTGCTTTCCTTGTGTCCACGTTCGTGTCGCAATCTCTTGATGCAGTTGTCAAACCGCTGGCCACAGTATTTGCATGTATAAGGCAGTTCTCCACGGTGTTTGATCCGAACGTGCAGTTTAAGAAGGTGAAGTGTGAATTCCTTGCGACCGCACTCCTCGCATTCGAGCTGCTTCAAGCCTGTATGACGCGTGAGGTGAACATTAAAGTTGCTACAAATGTAAAGGCCCTGCTCCTTTGCATGAATCCTTTTCGCCCTTGCCCATTTCCTCCTAGTCGCTTCTTTTTGCGATTTCTTTTCGGGCAGCCGTATAACCACGGATTCACTTTGTCCTTTGGTTGGTCTGCCTCTCTTTTTGGGTTTTTTAGTAGATAACTCTGTAACGCCATCGAGTTGCTGATTGCTAGAATCCCTTAACTCAGCTTCTAATTGAAGGGATTGGTTCTCCACCTTGATAGTTTCTTCGTTCAATAAGGGATCCAAGACCTCAGTCTTTTTTGTTGTATTATAATTAATGTCGTCCTTTTCCTTACTACCCTCCAACTCTGTCGCCTTGTCCGCAGTGTCAAGTTCCTGGAACCATACTTTGTTCGTCCTTATGCAGAGCTGCCGAAAAGCAATGGCTGCCTTAAGATCCAGCTGGCAGGACATACAGATACGAGTGGGTGCGCCCGGGTTGTTAGTTAACTAGAAACCAACAAGGAATTAAAATTATTTAGAACTTCCAAAGTCATGTTCACAAACTTGCCAAAATCCCAGTCAGTTTCAGCACGTCAAACAGAATGTCAGTGCCGTCCTTGTCAAATAGCGTTTTTGAATACTGAGACTCCTGGCCGCAGGTTCGACACATCGTAGACATTTTGCTAGTCCGGCTCATATTTTATCGTCAAACAAAATTGCTTCGTTTACTATGTGTTTCAGTATCCATAACATAACATAAACAGAGATGTTCTTTTGTTTACAATTATTTGCCGCTTCGTGGCGAATTGCACATGCAACAGCCCGACCGCGTGTCCATGGAAATGCCAAAATTTTAACCATTGCAATTGATAATTTAATTTTCATATTTTATGAATGAAAAATTATATCTAAACTAATTTTATGTTATTTACGGAAAAGTTTCCACGTCCACGAAGGCTAGAGGTATTTGATACTGTTTGTAAATCTTCGTCCTTATTTTTTTTCTGCTGTTCCTCGGCATTTTTTTTATGTCGCTTCGAACGAAGATGAGTTTTCAAGCTTGTCATCCTACCAAAGTGCGTCTGGCAAAGCTCACAGCTGGGGAAGAAATTAAAATTAGTCTAAATAGTTAAACATTTGAATTTAAACTTACTGGAATGGGTGTTCACCAGTGTGCACCACGGCGTGATTTTGTAAAGTTTTCTTTTCCTGAAATCCTTTATCACAAATGGGACACTTGTATTGCCGGGGTCGGGGGTTATGATTACGCTCGTGTCGCAACCTAAGGTTGCAGTTGCCGAACCGCTGGCCACAGTACTTGCACACATAAGGCAGCTCCCCGCGGTGCTTGATCCGCACATGCAGATTGAGAAGGTGTGGTGTAAGTTCCTTGCGGCCGCATTCCTCGCACTCGAACTGCTTCAATCCCGTGTGACGCTGGAGGTGGACATTAAAGTTGCCCCGTTCGCTGAAGTATTTTCCGCACTGGTCACAGAAGTACAGGCCCTCCTTTTTTGCCTGAATCCTCTTTGCCCTTGCCCATTTATTCCTAATCCCTTTCTTTTCAGATGCATCCCTTTTGTTCATTTTGGCTGGCCTGCCTCGCTTTTTTGTGTTGCCGGTGGTGGTGTTATTTCTTCAGGTTCCTGGTCATTAGAACCGCCAGGCTCACTGTCTGAATGTAGGGATTCGTTCTCTGTCTTGATAGTTTCCTCACTTATCAAGGGATCCAAGATCTCAGCAGGCATGGCGTCCTTTGTATCTAAAGGATATATTTCATCTGTTGTATTCGAAGTTATGTCATCCTTTTTCTTCGTTTCCTGTACGGAAACCCTTGATGGTATTTCTCCTTCTGCCTCCTTGCTTGCAGACTCTAATTCCTCATTATTATTCTTCTGCTCCTCGAACCACAAGTTGTTCGTCCTGATGCATCGATCCCGAAAGGCAATGGCTTCCTTCAGGTCCAGCAGGCAGGAAACACAGATTTGCGGGGGCACGCCCTTCTCGTTAGTTAACTAAAAACCAAAATGAATGTACTATTATTTAAGACTTCAAGTTTAAAAACTAACCAAAATCCCCGTCAGTTGCAGTAGGTTGTACAGAATGTCTTTAGCTTCCTTGTCAAAGAGGTTCCTTGAATACTCGGCCCCCAAGCCACAGGTGCGGCACAGAGTAGGCATTTTGCTTGCGTCACTTTTGCGTAAACCAAAATTGATTTAATTATTTTATTAATTTGTTTTGTTACTTCAGTGCCCAAACATAAACAAAGATTTTTTTCTGTTTACAATAATCTTCCGCTTCGTGGCGAATGGCACCTGCGTGTCCATGGTAATGGTCACGCGTTCCCTTGAGAATGGTCAAAATTTGAAATGAAGGTTACAAATTATTTGAGTCTTATTTTATTCTAGGTTTCTTTCAGACTTTTTCTCTGCTTTCTTTTTGTGCAGCTTTGATCGGTAATGGGTTTTTAGGTTAAAATTACGAGTGAAGGACACATTACATATTTCGCAGCTGAAAATATAATAGATAAGCAAGATAAGCATTAAAAATATTATAAATCAAAAACTGTTATTTCTTGTAATTAACCTTACTTACGGAAAGTTACGCTCACCGGAGTGCACAACCTCGTGCTTTTTCAATTGGGATTTGACCTCAAATCTCAAGTTGCAGAATGCGCACTTGTACCTTTTGTTTGTCACCTTAAGCTCGTGCATCCGGCTAAGTGAAACAAATGTTATTATTGAAATCGCGAAATAAGACAAATAGTAAATTACCTTTGGTGGCGGCTCCTCTGGGTGCTGTCCACGAATCTCTTGTCGCAGTATTTGCAGGCGAAAGGCTTCTCTCCGCGATGCTTGACACGTATGTGGATGTTCAAGAGATACATGTTGAATTCTCTTTTCCCACAGTCCGGACACTCAAAGGGCTTAATGCCCGTGTGGCGGACCAGATGCAGATGAAGGTTGGCTCTGTCGTTGAACTCCCTGCCGCACTGATCACAGAAATATATCTTTGTGGCCCTGCTCTTTTTTTGTACATTTTTTTGTGTGCTTTCCTGGGGGATTAGTTGAGTTCCATGAGATGTGTTGCAGGTGGTTTTCGTATTTGTGGGATTCTGTAAGTGAGTATTGTAATATTCCGCTTCATCCTCTTCAATTATCTCCTTTATCTGCCTAATTATCTCGGTCTCCACATCATCATCAATATTCTTTATTTTTAAAGCCAATTTCGCCGTGCTACTGGGCGTATCATTAAAATCCTCTTGATCCTGATTCTCTGATCCGGAATCCAGGGTATCTAGAATGAGGCGTTGGTTTGTGGCAACGCAGAGCTCCCGAAAATGTATGGCTCCCCTCAAGCTGCCCAGGCAAGAAAAGCACATTTTCTTCGGAAAATCCAGTTGGTCAGTAAGCTGCAATGAAGTTATATTATTTAAACCAGTTTAAAGTGTATTTGAAAAATACTTACCTGAAGGCCTGTTACCAGAGCGATTTGTTTGATGATTACATCGTTTCCTTCAAAGATATCTATTGTACTATTGCTATATGTCTTCTGACCACAGGTCCGACACTGTGACGACATTTCAGAAGATCAGTAAGACACTAAATCTTGAATGTTTCTGAAACACTTTCACTTTTTAATTCCATTATGATGGCCATTTGGTAGTGAAAGGTTGATTAGATGTCTACATACCATGGTGACTGCCCAATTTGAGCAATTGGCGCACAATTTTAAATTTTGTAAACAAAAATATTTATATCTAAGGCTTATTAGTTCATTGATTATAACCGCTTACAAATATTGAGCATAGAGGACAGATTATGAAGTGTTGGCGAGAACATTCAGATGAATGTTACAGAACGTTGGGCATAATAAATTGTTATTAACTATGTATAAACAAGTAATGTAATGTAATATGAACTAGGTTTAGAAAACAATATCAAAATGATTAACAAACGAAAACGAAATTGATACGATTTAACCAAAAGGCTTTTAAAATAATATACAACGTAGTGAGATCCGGGAGATAGTAAGGCAATCCAGTGCCTCAACAAATCATCTCACTGTATTGTTTAAATCAATTCAATTAATCGTCATCATTAGTGATCAAGCCCTGTTACTGACTTTCTTGTAGTGACTTTGCGTGTTGTAGTGATTTTTTAAATCAGATCGTCGAGGAAAGCTCATGTTGCATACTTCACATCTAAAAGTAAATGGAAGGGTATTATATTATTTTGAAATATTTATCACAACTCATTCACCGAAAAGGTTTTTGGCCAGTGTGACGGTACTTATGCTTGTTCAAGTCGGTCCTTGTATTGAACCTTAGGCTGCATAAGTTGCACTCGTAGCTCCAGTCTCGAATATGTTGAGTCCTGCCAAAATACCAACGGATACATAGAAAAAGGGATAACCATAAGCATTGCTTCAATGTCAAATTACCGCTGGTGATAACTGCGTGATGTGCTAGTAAAGAATTTCCTCTCACAGAACTTGCAGGCATATGGCGTTTCGCCCAAGTGTCGGACCCGCACGTGTACCTTCAACAGGTATTGGTTTACAAACCGCTGGTCACAGCTTGTGCAGGCAAAAGCCTTGAGGCCTTCGTGGCGCATTTTGTGCATCTTCAGATTGTGGGTGGTTTTAAACAATGCACCACACTTATCGCAAAGTAGGGAATCCTTATGCCTTTGAACCGGTGCAATGTTCTCAGCTTCCTTACGTAGTGTACACATATTATTGACATCCTGAATTAAAACCGGTGCTTGGTTAGGCAGGGGAATCAGTTTGCCAATTTCAACAAACTTTCCCTGGGCGACCCTCGAACTAGCGTTGGCAACTATGTTTTCTGCTGCCTCAAGGAAATTTTCTGCAAGGGGGTCCATATTTTTTGGTGCTGCTGACATGGGAGTTTTCATTGACCATTCTCCGAATCGGAATAGATGGGTTTTCGGCTTCCCCTTTTCTATAAAACGAGCTTTTTCAAGCAGATCTTATTGTAGGCAAAGGTCTGCTTCTTTTGCCAAACGGCACAAATGTCTGTTCTCCTTATTGTCTAACTGTAAATGGAGTAAATGGGACATGTAATATTTCTACATATGTACGTGTTTGTAGCAGCACGCCAAATAATAAACCAATTATGTATTACATATTTACGAGTACTCCATGGTTCCTTACATAAAATAATGGGCTGAAAATGCAAAAACTTACGTGCAAAAAAACATCGCGGCGACTTACAACAAATTTAACCGAAATATTGTGCCAGTGTGACCGTTGCTTGAGCGCCAAAAATTACCAATTTTTTAACAACCAGATCGTAAAAATAAATATGCAAAAAAAAAATAAATAAAATTTAAATGTTTTCCCAAACCCAGATGAATTTAAATAATTTCTAGGGCTAAATCAGAACTAGTTCTTAGAGAAATTAACACAACTATTTCATTAGATAAATAATAATAATATATTTCATCATTTGCTTTGAAACTGGTGTCTGGATTGGTACAACTTAAAAGAAGAGTTTTCGACACACAAATAATGGTTCCACACACCTTGGAACTGTTTGAACTGAACCAATACACCTATATATCAAGCTTTCCTGGTACTTCTGTTTCCGTTTTAAGAGCCGCTAATCGTCCAGTTCCTCCAAATAAGCTGCTTCATAGTCGGCATCCTCGTAATGCTCCTCCTCAAGAATCTGGCCATTTTCGTCGTCGTCAGCATTAACGAAATCGTCGGTATACTGATCTTCAGTATACTGGTCGTCGTTAATTGCTTCAAAGAGGTCATCCAAGTCTTCCTGGTTTAAGTCTTCTGGATCCCCCTGGCTTTCGTCCAGATCGGTCATGTTCCCCTCGTCACCCGGATTCTCCGCTAGCCGATTCATGCGCTTGCGATGGTACTTGGTGGCGAAGTGCCGATGCAGAAACGAGGCCTCCTTGAACTCTTTGTTGCAGGTTTCGCAACTGGAATAAGACAAGACTTCTATATAAAATTATTTTATATTTATGAAGGTAAACTTACTAGTGCACATCGGGTTGGTTGCTCTTGTGCCCGTCCTGATGCTTGATCCGGCTCTTTTCGCTGTTGAAGCGTTTATCGCAGATTTTGCATTTAAAGGCGAGTTCGTTGGGATGCACTTGTCTAAGAAATTTTAATAAAAGATTTCAATTATGGGAACAGGGCTCGGTTACTGAGAGGCTTTCCTTACCGCTCATGCCGACAGCGGGCGGGACTGTTGTTGAATCCCATTCCGCAGTACTTGCACACATAAGGCTTTTCTCCCTTGTGGTGCACCCGAATGTGCAGCCTGAGCAGCGGCTGAGTGTAGAACTTTCGTCCGCATTCGTCACAAACGTGTTTCTTCTCAAAGTGCCGCAGCTTGTGGTCCTTCATGTTGCTCATATCGGCAAAAGCCCAGCCGCACTGATCACACACATATTTCTTGTCCTTGGGATAAACCTTGGGGCGATAACGTTTTTTACGGACGCCCCTGTCAGTTTTCTCTGACGTAGCCGGTTTCCGACGCTCCGGCACGTGAAGGCGCTTGATCCTAACGCGCGGCGATTGGCTGTTGGGCATCCGTGTCTCCTGTTTTATTTTTTTGGACACCGGCGAGGACACCGTAGGTGATGCGAATTCATCCTTATCTTCAGAGGTAAAGGAATTTTCGTAGTCATCTTCATCAAGTTCACGTTTCAGCTCGTTCTTGATACCCGAATCGCTGCCAGCCAAGTCGTCATTCGATCTGTTGGGGTTCCGGTGCAGATACTCGTGTGCCTGCAAACAGCGCTGCCGGAAGGCAACGGCATGGCTTAGATCCAGCAGGCAGCAAGAACATATGTGCTTGGGTAGCGGCTCCTCCAATACTATCTAAAAGTTAACTATTTGAGTCAAGTTATTACACATAAGAAAGGGACGCCACCTCTAAACCAGTGATTTGTTGGATTGCCGTTAAAATCCGGTGGTTGCGCTTCTCAAAGAGGTTCTTCGGATGCGGGGTGAAGATCTTCTCGCAACATATGCGACACTCGCTTGACATGGTTCCGGGTATATTTAAAAATTTATTATTTTGAACAAGTTTTATTATTATCTGCCGGGCAGTGTGACTGTGAAACTGTGTGACCAAATGATTAGGTCGCTGAAATGCCGCTTTTCGAGATGTCCGTCAAACTAGCGTCGATGAATTAGCGTCGAAATGGAACGGTGGGAATGTGGAACATGGAGGGGATTTTTTAGCATTTAGACACTTTATTTTATTGGAATTAGTGCCTTAATTTCGAAATAAATTAAAAATTTAAGATCCTCCTCATGTTCCATTTTTCCACCGTTCTATTTCGACGCTAGTTTGATGGACATCTTTTCGCGAAATTCGAATTGTATTTCCGAGGCCAGTGTGTACACACTGGACGGCGTTGCATCAACAACAACAAGATCAGCTGGCATTTTGTCTCTTCTTCTTCCGAATCAATTCTCTATTAAATACAAACATATTTAATGCATTTGGATTTTGTTTACTAATAATGTTTAAGATGCGTTCGCTTTGCCGCACTTGTGGCATAAAAATAGACAATAAATCAGGCTGTACCAAGCTCTTTCAAAAGTCAAACTACCAATTAATAAGACTGATTGAGGACATTACCGACATGTTTGTAAGTAACACGAATTAAAATTTTTATTATACATTAAAAAGTTTAATTTTTTTTTAGCTGGAGTCAGATAAGTCTATGCCGGATCATATTTGCCATGAATGTAAAGAGGAGCTAAACAAAATGTTGACTTTTCGCTCAACGTTCTTGAACGTCCATCAGTCCTTTTTGGCCACCAAAAAGAAGCACTTGCAATGGATGGAAAATTCTAATAAAATGGGAGCTGAAGGCTGTAAAGATGATGATGAAGAATTCGTCGAGTATACAGATGACATGGAAGATTCCCAACCACATGGTGATAGTCTTCTCTTCGAAGACCACATTGATCAAGGTAAACAGGATGAAGAGAATGAAGACGAGCACACCGAGAAGAAGGAGGCGGCGATAGAGGAGGAACAGGACCAGAAGTATGCAGATGAGGACCAGATAAACACGTTGGCGAATCCAGAGTTCCTGGAGGAGGACGAGGGCCAAAACATGGAAGAGGTTAGTCAGAGCCACAAGATCACAGCCCGCAAGGCTAAACAAGCGAAGCGTAACGCAAAGACCTGGGTCTGTGAGCAGTGCGGTGGCGTGTTCAAGTGTTCCACCTATCTAAAACTGCATATGCTGCGCCACACCGGCCAGAAATCGTTTGCGTGCGACGTCTGTCAGGCTAGATATTACACGGAAAACGAGATGCGTCGCCACCGGATTCTGCACACCGATGCCCGGCCCTACGCCTGCCGCTTCTGCGATAAGACCTTCCGCGGCTGCAGCAGCAAAGTGGTCCACGAGCGTACGCACACCAATGAGCGACCATTCCAGTGCCAGTACTGCGAAATGGCCTTTACCTCAACGTCAACTCGTCAGCGACATGAGTTGCTGCACACGAATAACCGAAAATATCAGTAAGTAATGTTTTATTCATTCTTACAGCAGGGATGTTGTATCATGTCATTAAACTTGGTTCTTTTGCAGCTGTGAGACCTGTCAACATTGGTTTTTGCGCGCGACGCATCTGACTCTACACCAGAACACAAAACTGCACAAAAGAGGGTCGCGAGTGCTCATACTCGCTGTGTATAAAAATCCAATTTTAAATATAAGCGCGGTGTCAACGCTGCCACGTGAATGGCTTTTGTGTTTGGGGGTTGTTTTGAGTGAATGTCGCGTCTCTTCTTCTTTTCCAAACAAATCAACTTTCCGTATTTGATCGATTTTGCTCTTTAAATTTGAAGGAATGGGGGACATTTGCAGGACCTGTTCGCAAGAAGCAGATCCTGCAACAGCCAATAATCTTTTCGATCCGTCGAGTGCATCGCTTCTTGTTCAAATAGAGGACTTGACCCATATAATGGTGAGTATCAAATCCACATGTTATAAAAGTAAGGAAGGATATTTACAAAGGCCAACTTTTAGCTGCAGAACGATGATAATTTACCCAAATGGATATGCCAAAACTGTCTGCTTGATCTGAAGATAGCCACCGACTTTCGCAGAGTTTGCATTGAGGCTCAAGAACTGCTACAACTCCAGGGAGACCGGGCCAAGGCTGAAGAGAATGGGGAGGGCCAATGGATCGATGGTGCTCTGTCGGACGGAATCCTCTGCCCGCCGGAAGATGTGATAAACTTTGTGCCGGAGGTCCAAGATGACCTTTCCGAGATATCTAAAAAACCACAAGAGTCCGAGTACCTGACGCCTTCGTTAGTTCTGGATGAATACGCCACTATAGATTGTTCAGCTGAAACTCAGTTTTCGGATGAGACTCTTGAGGAAATAAATGTCGAATCAACATACAACGACTCCAATGAGATAGAAACGATTTATAGTCCCGACTCTACGAATTACACCTGCAGCAATTGTGGACTCGGATTTGATGATGCGGAAGAGCTAAGGACCCACAAGTACCAGCTGCATGACGTATCAACCGATACCAAGTATTTATTTTTATTCATACTAGCTAATTTCAACTACTATGGAAAAGCTTATAAACAATATTCCATTTTAGATTCGTTTGCGACCATTGCGAGGAGGGCTTCCGCACGGCAGCAGAACTGGCCAAGCACTGCAATCTTCTAAAGCATCCTTGCATCCATGAGTGCGTAAAGTGCACGGCTAAATTCCATAGCAAGATCCTGCTGGACACGCACAGCGAAGTATGCCAACTGTCCACGATAGGCAACAAAGTGTGTCATATTTGCGGCAAGAGGCTGTCTTCCGCCTTCGTTCTGAAGACTCACCTTTTGCGCCATTCGGGTAAACGTCCCCACAAGTGCTCGCAATGTGACGCCGCTTTTACCGTCGCCGCCGAACTAAAAACGCACATGAATACTCATTCGTCCGAGCGTTCATTTGTGTGCCGCTACAACTGCGGTAAATCTTTTCGCTTCAGCAGTGCTCGCTCTTCGCACGAGAGGTAAATAATACTCACGAGTAATCCCATCTTTAGCTAATTTTTTTCTCCTGCACAGAATCCACATGGATGATAGCAAACGTATTTACTACTGCGAGTATTGTCCCAAGTCCTTTGTGACGCCAAGCGCATGCCGGGCACATCAGAAGCAGCACAGCTCGGACGGCGATCACAGGTAATTATATGAAGCTCCATTTATTTTCCAATTTGCATGTAAAAGGATTATACAAAAATCTAATTTATATGCAAATATAACAAATTTAAACATGCAGTCTCAAGATGATGCAACTCCTCCACCCCGTTTCTCCCTTTCAGATGTGACACTTGCCACATTAGTTTCCGGCAAAGAAAGCATTACCAAAACCATCTAAAGTCCAATACCCACAAGGTCCTAGAGGCGCGTGCCGCAGCTGCTACGCTACATCCATATTTCCCACATTAACATTCCATCTTCAATTAGAATTCTAATTCCTGTCTGCATTTAAATAATAAATAATGTACCTAGCAAAATGACGCGTGCAATCAATCTTACACTTAGAAAATCGTGTCATTGATGACCTTATCATTGTCGTAGATTTCCTTGGCGTAGCACAGGTTGGGGTAGTCATAGGCGGCTCCATATCTGTTCTTGCATCCGGAAGTCGACCTCTCGCCTGGTTTGTACACAGGCTGACCCACAATATTGGAGGTGGCGAAGTTGCAGGTGAAAACAAAGTGGTTGTAGTAATCCTTAGCGAAGCGCACTGCGGCACATCCCACATGGGTATTCTTCTCAGCAACCGTAATGGTAAACTTGGCCACGTTTTTGTTGGGCAAATCTTCGGGAAAGTTGGCCAGAATATCGGGAGAGGCATTGGAGCGCTCTGCAAACCAATTTTCGATCTGCTCCTTCATGATCTCCGCATCTGTGTACTCCGACTCTGCTCCACTGTAGCTGAATATGGCGTTGTTCTGGCCAGCATATGCGAATCGCTCGGTGCTGCGGCACTTGTCCGGCAAGGACTGGCAGTTCTTAACGTTGAGTAGAGCCAAATAAGCGAGCTCCTCGCACCAGGACATTTTGGCCATACGAACAGCTTTGGGTAAGCCCTCTATTTCACCTCCAGCCACTTTGTTTCGTAGTTCGTTGAAGAGGGCAAGGATCAATTTGTGATGGGGTTCAATCTTGACCACACGAGAATTGTTTGGACAGTTTGGACCGAAATACTGGGAGGGAAATACGGTAAGATTACACATGTATAATATATTACATCTTACTCCTTTGTTATTGCAGGCAATGTGCTTGTCCCGGCACGTGGGCAAAGCACAGTAGTCCACTCCGAGGGTGAATCCCACCACGACACTGAGCAGTAAAAGAGATTTCATGTTGTTTCAATGTTTGGCGCTAACTGGTGACTTTTAACTGGAGCTTAGACCGCTGCACAGTCTCTATTTAAAGAGAAACTTTACATTTTTAGTGCTTTCGTATCGCAGCTGGATTGTGACTCCTAATATTTTCACAGCTGAGTTCCATTGAACATGTGGAACAATGAATTCCAGTTCCCCAAGGGGCATATAAAAGAAGGCTCCGCCACTATGATTTCTCAGACCCAACTGTAGAGTCAAGTGGAAAGCACCAACATGTTTGTTATAAAAGCAATCAAAGTGATCCTGCTGGCAGTGGTTTCCATTACCACTGCAGTGGACTATTGCGCTCTACCCACCTGTCTGGATAAGCACATCGCCTGCAATAATAAAGGAGTAAGAAAAGATACTGCAATATCCCTCGCATTAATATTATTATCCAAAAATTACCTTTAAATTCCTCTAACAGAACTTTAGCGAAAACTGCCCTAAGGATTCTCGTATAGTCAAGATCGAACCCCATCACAAGCTGATCCTTACCCTTTTTAACGAGCTCCGGAACAAAGTGGCTGGAGGTGAAATAGAGGGCTTACCCAAAGCTGTTCGCATGGCCAAAATGTCCTGGTGCGAGGAGCTCTCCTATTTGGCTCTTCTCAACGTGAAGACTTGCGAGTCCTTGCCGGACAAGTGCCGCAGCACCGAGCGATTCGCCTATGCTGGCCAGAACAACGCCATATTCAGCTACAGTGGAGCGGAGTCGGAGTACACAGATGCGGAGATCGTGAAGGAGCAGATCGAAAATTGGTTCGCAGAACGCTCCAATGCCTCTCCCGATATCCTGGCCAACTTTCCCGAAGATTTGCCCAACAAAAACGTGGCCAAGTTTACCATTGCTGTGGCTGAGAAGAACACCCATGTGGGATGTGCCGCAGTGCGCTTCTCTAAGGATTTCTACAACCACTTTGTGCTAACCTGCAACTTTGCTACCTCCAACATTGTGGGTCAGCCCGTGTACAACCCAGGCGAGAAGTCGACTTCCGGATGCAAGAATCGCTATGGCGCCGCCTTCGACTATCCCAATCTGTGCTACGCCAAGGAAATTTATGACAATGAGAAGGTTATTAACGGTACCGTTGTCTAAATCCCAAAGGGGAATACACACTTAATTATTGTAGCTGAGAAGGCAATAAATAGCTAAAAGAGCAAAGATATTTATAAACTTTACAATTCTTGCCGAGGGGGTTTCCCGTCTTCACAAGCACAAAAAAAAAATGAGAGGTTCATCTTTCGTTTTAGCCTACTAATTTTTATTTAATTATATTATATGTTGTGAGAGGTATTCATTCATCTTGTCGTCTGTCCTCGACAGCTTTAGCTTGGATGTCCAACTTGTACAATTAAAACAAACATTATCACAATCTTACGCAGGTATACAAAACATTATCTAGTTCTCATGGCTTGGACACTTTGAAATACTTGTTTAGAGTCCAGCCCTCTTCCGGTGGTCTTCACCCTCTCTCGATCGGTGCGAACTTTTTGATATTTCTTTGGTGAAATACATAAATAGAGATACATTTTGCTTACATTAAAGTGGGCCAGCCGATTTTATCCCAGTGTATCTTTCTTGAGGGGACTTTCGAAGAGGGATGTCTTACAATCATGAGTTTAGTTAGTCAATGACTTGGTACTAAAATGAAACAAAAATCAGGTAAGGGTGAGTAACAAATAACAAAAGGGTTTCGAAATAAATAAATTAAATAATTATTCAACGCTTTTTGTGATTTGCAAAAGCAATTCTAAAATTAAATTGGGCTTAGATAAATAAATTAATATTCGAATAGGGATTGTGTTCGAGGCATCTTGTGTGGGAACGGCTTACGAGTGACATCATCTAAAACTACACATAGTATTAACTAAGTAGGAACTCTGGTCCTTACTTCTCCTTGGGCGCCTTGTCAAAGAGGTACTCCTTGGCCATACTGTAGGCCAATCCAACGGTCAAGCAGCCTACGACAGTTCCTTGGGCGGCCACACGCAGCTGCATCAGGAATACGCTGGTGCTCATCGTTCCGCGGTTCTTGTACTTGTAGGCTCCAATTAGTCCGGCGGCCACGAATCCAGCAATGCCTGGAAAAAAAGTAGAATCCAAGATCAGTCATTTTGTCACCGTTTCTTCGAATTTTTGTTGCTACGGGAAAGTTTGCGTCTGCTGATAAAAGCCAGACGATGTCGCACGAAATCCCAACAGTGCTGAACGGGGAAAATGCAGCTTAAAAATCCATTGATAAGGATTGTTATATATAGAAGCATATCTTTAACGGACAAATGTTAGCTTCAGCTGTGAATTATCACATAGCACGACAACCGAAAGATGCAATTGTGGCACCGGAAATCAGTTACATCATTCGTTTTCCAGGTGTATCTCGAAACTTTGCCATTATGTCACCGCATTTCGTATACGGATGCGAACTGTCGTTGACCTCGGCGAGCAAGCTTCATGGTCAAGGTCAAGATAGACCGCATCCTCACGCATCGCACTTTTTGGCAGGCCTGCAGCCAAAAGTTTCCATGTGACGTCACGGCGGCACACACAACTTTTCCGTGTGTGTGGCACTCGCGAATCTTACCCACTAGCATGAACGGGCTGTCCTTGGCCTTCCTGGCCAATTTGTTGTCCTGGGCGGCATCGTCGTCGCTCTCGAATAAGGATTTGGAGCTCATTTTAAACGCAGGTGGAAAATGTTTCACGGGCTTTTTAGTTTTGCAGCTTTTCAATATACCGATTACCGATACATATATATCGATATCGCTGCAGCTTTTCAATATACCGATTACCGATACACATATATCGATATCGCCCATAAAGCTACACGCGCGTTTATCGGAACATCGATAACAATCGATGGAAAATCATCTGTCATGACATAAGATTTGGTGTTTTTTTTTAAACGAGAAAAAAAAAACGAGGAATAAGGCTGCCTTAGCCGCAAATTTTAATTAAATTGACAAGTGCTACCGCAATACACACACACACTCCAGCACACACTCGCCCAGCAGAGACGCAGCCATGACGGGAATTATGTCAATCGTAACGAGGCGGCTGCCCCAGACTTTGGGGATGCGAGCCCTTCGTGGTCAGGAGGTAAATGGGTGTGTGAGAGGCAGGGGGATGGACCAGGTGTGTGTGTGTGCCAGGTGTACGTTCCGTATTCCGAAAATATGCACCGTATCCATTCACTTTCGCTGCCCGCCAGGCACTGTGCGATTATGTAATTGTATGTGTGTATGCGTGCGCCGCTGAAAAATAGTGAAATTTATTGTTTTCGGCCGACGAGCCTCTCATGACGCCCACCGCACGTGATCTGCCGCCCGTCTCCTAGTTGTGCAATCACTGATTTCGTTCTATCCCCCAGTTGAAGCGCTGCATCCGCCAGTATTCCCGGCTCGTCGTCTGTGCCGCCCAGCAGCAAGCTCTTCTCCGTAATGATGCCACCCTCCGCTGCCAAGATGCCTCCAGGTGAGCTCCGTTTCAGTCATTGCCAATATCTTCCCACTGACGTTTTTTTTCAGGGTTCTCGCCTGGCAGGGTATCCACACCACCTCAAGCATGTGGTCAGAGCAAACGGTGAATGTGCCTCCCTTCGCCGACTCCATCGCCGAGGGTGATATCAAGTAAGTGTGAGGGCGCCTGGTCGATGACTCAGGCTCAGCAACAGGTTCCGGACCTGTTATTTCTCCATTCCCAAGCTAATTCGAGTTCCTCTTCCCCTGCAGGTTTACGTGCAAGGTAGGCGACTCGTTTGCGGCTGACGCGGCGGTCATGGAAATCGAGACCGACAAGACAACGGTGCCAGTGCCCGCTCCCTTTGCCGGTTCCGTGACCGAAATCCTGGTCAAGGATGGCGACACCGTCAAGCCCGGCCAGGCTCTGTTCAAGATGAAGCCGGGTGCGGCCCCCGCCAAGGCTGCTGCCCCCGCGGCGGCTGCTCCGGCGCCAGCTGCTCCGGCAGCAGCGGCACCGAAACCAGCACCCGCTGCTGCGGCACCGAAAGCGGCACCAGCTCCCGCTGCCGCGGCGCCCAAGGCTCCGCCACCACCGCCGCCGAAGGCAGCTCCTCGTGCGGCTCCTGCTGCACCACCAGCGGCTACCCTCAAGCCAGCCGTGGCCCAGGTTAAGGTGCCGCCCGCAGACGGATCCCGCCAGATCCTGGGCACCCGTTCCGAGCAGCGCGTCAAGATGAACCGTATGCGACTAAAGATCGCTGCTCGTCTGAAGGATGCCCAGAACACGTGTGCCATGCTCACCACATTCAATGAGATCGACATGAGGTAAGTGAATCGTAAAGATATTTCATTATTTGTGGAGAAATTAACTGAGATACAGTGAACTTACAAGCAACTAACCATTGAAATATGCCAAAATTTAAAGCATTTCATAAACTGAACGTGATAAGATAATATTAATCAGGTTTTCCAGTTATAAACTATGAACCCAAACATAAACAATCCAACTCAAACTACGATTTAATTTATTTTTATGTTTAAAAAGGAACATAAAAAGTCCGAAATCCATATTTTATAATGCCTCATCTCTTCATTTCCAGCTACGCCATGAACTTCCGGAAACAGCATCTGGACGAGTTCATCAAGAAGTACGGCATCAAGATGGGCTTTATGTCCATCTTTTCGAAGGCCAGTGCCTATGCGCTGCAGGATCAGCCCGTGGTGAACGCCGTCATCGATGGCCAGGTAATACGCCCACACTGCACCCCACCCACAGCTGTTCTCTTATCGCCCCGTGACGTACTTTGATAAGGCTATGTTGTTTAAATTTCCTTATCAGCGCACAATTTCTTTTTTTTATGATACCCCTTTGTTTATGCAATTTCCCGTGGCGATATGACGAAATGTGGAATATTTTGTGTTGCCAAGCGTTAATAATAGATTTGCTTTTTCAGGACATTGTCTACCGTGATTATGTGGATATCTCTGTGGCTGTGGCCACACCCCGTGGCCTTGTTGTGCCCGTCATCCGCAACGTGGAGGGCATGAATTATGCCGACATTGAGATTGCACTTGCCGGTCTGGCTGACAAGGCGAAACGGGATGCTATTACCGTGGAGGATATGGACGGTGGTACTTTTACCATCAGCAACGGTGGAGTTTTCGGCTCCCTGATGGGCACACCGATCATCAATCCGCCACAGAGCGCCATTCTCGGAATGCACGGCATCTTTGAGCGGCCAATTGCTGTTAAGGGAGAGGTGAGCCTTAAGGGACTTCAACTCCTTAATTGTTTTATTAATGTCTTGTTTTTACTTGGGAAATCCAGGTTAAGATTCGTCCCATGATGTACATTGCCCTGACATACGACCATCGCATCATCGATGGACGCGAGGCTGTCCTGTTCCTGAGAAAAATCAAGGCTGCTGTCGAGAATCCAGCGATCATTGTTGCCGGCTTGTAAAGTGAAATGTCTTAATCCGCGTCTACGGCCTTCAGTTGATATTAGCATTCTCTCAATCTGAAACTATCATTTGGTTATTTATTATTGTCTTTTCAAAATCGTCACAAATAGAAGAAAAAAAGAAAAGCATCGACTCGCAAAACCGAAATTAGTCCAAATATTGCGAACGTGTTTTTCTCGAAAACATTTACTGTGCACTGAACATTTAATGTTAACATAAACGCTGAAATGCAATATCGTAATAAAGCGACGACGAATATCGACCAACCTCAAAGTTACTCTTAATGTCTAATCCAGGACTACGGGCAGTGTGATGGATTCTTGTATTAGTCTTATTAATTTATTTACATGTATTAGTGGTGTATGCAAAGCTGGTTAGTGGAGTATCTAATCTTATCTTCAACAATTTCTATGTTAATTCAACATGTAAACAGTCTTATCTGTTACTCAGTCAGGTGCCCTTTTTTAATTGCTTCGGAAGTCGTTTTGGGACAAAGCATTCCGGCACCATTTATCATTTTTATAAAAATAGTTTAGCTTTGCATTACATCTTTGCAATATATTGATCGTGTGATTTTCAAAATCATTTATTTACATTTTAGATTATATATTTATCAAAGATATATCTGTGCGCCAATAAAAATCGTGGTTTACCTAACATATTCAAATAAGCCGCTGAAAACTTAAAAATACATTTTGAAAATGTTCATTAATTAAAAAACAGGTGCAAACTATCAGAATTTTGAATGAAAATTTATATTCCATATTGGGTATATCTAATAGGTTAATGGTATCTATTTGTTTTGTAAAAGTGAGCATACGTTTTATACAGTAATGGTACAATATTTTATGGACAATATATTTGTTAATTTAAATTTCAGATATATCTATATTTGGGTACATTTGGTATATATACATTTGGTATATAAAGTATATAAACTTAATTTTAGTTTACTAAAAGATATACTTTTATAAAATCCTGGGAGTTCTTTGTGAAGATTGAAAAATCCGAAATATAAGTTTTTGAAAAAGAAAATGGCACCCTTGCTAGCTTCCATTGCCGATTCGATGTTAAAGCTTAGGGGTGAAACGTATAATATCTACTCTTTCATAAATAAATACACCTAAATATATTATTCTGATGACAGATTGACTGCCCCTTCTAACGTGTCCTGGAATAAATATATATAAATGAAAAACGTATTGATTTGTTTTGTTATTAGAGCAAATTGGCTTGTACAATTTTATTGATTTTTGTTTGATATGATATTCAAACTATTTCTAATGTTGTTTACAATATTTTTGAGTTTTTGAGGTTGTGTGTTGTAGAATTAAATATTTTAAATTACAAATGAACTAAATGTGATTTGGAACAAGTATGTACTAAATAATAATTTTGCTTATTTGAATTTGATTTTACAATTACTTATGGTGAAAGTTTGTTTTTTTTTTTGTTTTTCATAGATCTATCAAAGATTGATTAACACAGTTTTTGATTTTTTTAGTTTGTTTTTCTTACAATTTTTGTTTTTTCCTGGTGTATAAGTTTACGTTTTTTGGGTATCACATGTGTCGAAATAAATTATAAATGAATCTGGCGAAGATAATGATAGTAGGGAGATTATCGAAATAAAGTATATAAAATGAGACATTTGTGGATGTAAGTGAATGTATACATATTAAATCACATAAAAAATGCGGCAATCGTTTCGTCTAAAATTTTGGCAATTCCATAATTTCCAAGAATTGACATTTTAGACAAAAGGATTGGCATTATCTACATTTGTTTGGTTTTTGGCCCTTTTGTGTACTTTCTTTTTTTTGCGTTTTTGTGCAATTTCTCGTAATAATTTTAGCTTAACTAAGGGGATACAGAGTGTAGTTACGTTGTACAATTCGCGCTTAATCGTAGTTCCTGAGTTTGGTTCTTTTTTTTTTTTGGGTCAAAAAAGAGGCCTAAGCTTTGTGCTACAAAACGATGTTCGTGTTTTTGATCTGCCCGATGGGGGAATTTCCATTGTCTAGGGGTGAAAGGGTGAGGGGACTGGGACGGGTGGGCGGTGTCAGTTGGTCCTGCACTTGAGTGCAACACTCTTAGTTCTAAGCAATTACACTAGGTATCCCCAACCTTGTGTCCGAAACGTTTTTTTCTCGTTTTTTCCTCACTGTTCTGGCTATAGAATTATCTGTGCGAGGATACTCTCGCTCCTGTCCCTTTCTCTCTCTCTCTCTATCTATCTATATATCTATCAATCTATATGAATCTATCTGTCTCTATCTTTGCGTAGATCTTGGTCGGGAATTATAGGGTTTCGATTTTAAATGGCTTTCAATAGAACTATTGTACAAGATTCCATTTGCTACTCTTCGTGGGTGCTTCTAGCGCTGTCTCAATGATTTTGCAAATTTCCAAATTGCCCGAAACTATACGTGTTTTCTTTCTTTTTGGATTTCCTATTAGCCAAAGGTGGAAGATGCTGCTCTCTGTGTGTAAATAAAATTCATAACTAAATTTCTGGGCCGGATTTGTTGGTAAGGGGTTTGAGCTTTCTAACTGCTTCTTCGTCGTTTGGAAAATGTTCATAGTTGAATTTGCTTTTTTTGGGCTTCGGCTCGGGTGTTTTTACGGTTTTGCTAGTACAAGTCGGAAATGTGTAATTTCATAAGACGGTTTTTGCATTTTCTTGTTTGCCAAGTCCCTCTGGGTGGTGTGTGTGTCGTCGTCGTCGTTGTCATCATCGTCATAGTGGAGTCGGCTGCCACTTGGCTGGGCAACTTTTGCCATGAATTTATAAATCAAAACGTTCTGCTGTCTAGTGGCCATTGACTGAGTGCCTCCTGCCTGGGAAGGGGGCTCGGATTGGGTGTCTCTCTCTGTTGGCAATGTGCGGAGTGTCTGTAGTGTTCTTGGTCCTGGTTCTGGCCCTCATGCCAGCCATATTTTATTTATTGATGGCAATTATGCCTCGACCTCGGCTATTGCCAGTAGTTTATATAAATTTGAAGTTTTGTTTGATGTGCTTTCAACTGCACGAGCCTGATGCTGATGCTGATGCTGGATGATGATGGTTCGAACTTTTGCCAAAGAAACCGAGTCTGACCACAATTTGAAAGGTCCTGGAACGAAGCGAGCTGGGGCTCTGGAGCTGACTTTGGTCCTGGAGGATTGTGGGGGAGTTTTTGGAGGCCATGCGTGTGACACTCGTCTCGAATATTACTTAAAGTTTTGATTTTGATTCGGATTCTGCTGGTGCAGCGCAGCCTTCATTTTGTTTGTGAATTTGATTTTGATTATAATTTTGATTTCGAACTACGGATTTGGGTTAAGTTGTTGTAGCTTTCTGTCTTCGACTTTTGTATATTTTTCTTTTTTTTTTGTGCGGCGGCCTTCGGGCGAAAGTAATGAGCTTGAGGGTTCGGTCTCGGTCTCGGCCTCTCCTGGGGCGGATCAAAGTGTTCATCGTCGAATCTTTGAGTATGGATGTGAAATTGCGGCTCAACTGCTTCTTTTGGGTATCTGGTTTTCAACCCCATCTATGGAGAGTTGTCTTTGAAATCGCGTGCCTTTGTTTTTGTTTCAGTTTCAGATTTGGTTTTTAGTTTTCAGTTACAGCTACAGGCAACGGTTTTTGTTCTTGCGGATTTTGGAATTTTCTGCGAGTGCTGGGAATTGTTTTGTTTCGCTGTGATTTATCTACTGCCTACTGCCGCACCACTCGCCCTCGGCCGCCATTTGTAAGATTTTGGCCAGAAAGTTGCCAGGATTTTCCCTAACCATGTTCCTGTCGCGTCTTCATTGCCAGCTCCTGCGCCTTGCCCTGCTCTTGTAATTTTTGGTGCTTTTCGGCGGGCTCCGTTTTTGCCCCTGACATTTGTCGCATTAAAACTTCCGCAATTTCTTGTAATTTATAATGCTGCCTTTTTGGAATTTTGCTGCAGTTTTTTCGCTTTCTGTTCATTTTTTATTTTTTTTTGTTTTTCTCTGAATTTGGCTTGGTTTTGTTGCTGAATTTAATGGGTGGGTTGCGAATACTTAATCATCTTAATGTGGCAATAATTATTTACCAAAGGTTCCTTTAATGCTGTCATCGGTGCGGAATTTTCTTTTAGCTTATTTATTTCTTTTTTTTGCGAGGTTTTCGTTTGATTTTGGATTTTGAATGTTTCTAATGTCCAGCTATTATCATAGGTATATTGAAGATTTTAAACTACTATCTATTTGATTTTGATTAGTTTTTTTGAGTGGTTGGTTGATTTTGATTATAATTTGGTTTACCTGGTCTGTGGACGATAATATAATGCTTTAAATTTAAATTTGGTATTGGAATTTTGTGGCCGGTCAGTGGTTGAATTTGGTTTTGAAAATTTTGGTTTCAATTTTGGTTTCAATTTTGATGATTGCCAGAGGAGCCGAAAGTTGAAATTGGAATTTTGAATTGCTTTTGCTGGTTCTAAAATAAAATAATTTAAATACAAAAATGTTATTAAAGTTTTTGGAACGAAATACCTTTTTAGTTTATAAAAATATAAATATTGTAAAAGGGTTCTCACATTTTAATGTGTTTTTTTGTTTTATCAGGCTTGGAAAGATTTAAAATTTACAAGATTTTATTTAAATTGGATTTCAGATATTGAATATATGAGCATTTTATCGCTTGTGTTTTCAAAACAGTAATTTGAAGCTTTGCGTGTTTCGTAAATATTGAATTTCTTATAATTTTACATAAAAAAGGTAAAAAATTATTTAAGAAAATGTTTTAAATGTTAAGATTTGAAATATCATAAGCTTTCGAATGTTTACCAACGAGAATTGTGTTTTTAATATATATACCGAATATAAAAAATTGTGTACTAATTTAAGTTTATAATAATATTTTCTGATTTCCTTTCTATATACATTTTTAGGATTTTTTAAAGTTGCTTCAGAAAATTTGACTTGACTTTGTAAAAACACTCTCTATCGGGGATTTTGATTTCTTAAATGCTTTTAAATTGTAATAAACTAAGGAAATATCTAAAAATAACAGTCTTTTGTCTTGTAATTTTGATAATTTTGACCAAGACTTTTTAAATGTTGCACAGTTTTAAAAATTAATTGCGATTTTAAATAAAATTTACAAGTCTATCGAAAGTATTATAGTATATAAGATCACAAGTTTTTGAATTTTGGTAATTTTTCACAAAGCTTTTCATGAATTGAATTTCTAAATTGTTCAATTTTATTTCAAAATAAGATTTTAGAATTCTTGAAAATTCAGATGCAAAGTAAAAATT